ACAAATTGGTCAGGGTTGACAGCAAGAAGGCTGTCATAAATTCATGTCTTGTAATGTGCAGGTCCATCGAGGACTCAAAGCGATTCATTTTATTGCCCCATAAATGTAAACTTTCACTCGAAACTGGGTCAGATGGTGAAATCTGGGACTATTGTGTCTACCAGAACCACCCCCAGTGGTAATGACCAATGAAGCTTGTCATCCATAATATTTAGGAAGGGACTCCTACACTCCACCCCCTTTATTTGCATAAGTTAAGTTTATTTAAGTCTTAGTTTTAAGTTTCTAAGACAGACAGACTCAGAGATTCAGACCCACAGACAGACTCAGAGATTGAGACTAACAAAAGATACAGACTCACACAGACAGACAAGCGACCAGATTAAGATCATGTAAAGTGACAAGATTCAAAACTTTAAGATTCAGATTCAATGTATATAGTGTAATTAAAGGTGTACAGTAGATGTAAGTTCAATATAAATTTCCACAAGTTAGACGTCTATGCGTTCTAATCTCAACTAAATGCACTGCTAATTAGTTTTGGTGGTGCCGCTTTATTCTGCCCTACTGATAAGTATCAGCAGGATATTGCTATTTGTTTAGATGATTTTAAATTATTGTTGTCTCATTGTAATGAATCAGATGTGTAAATTCGTATTGTTTATTTGTAGACCTGAAGATGATCAAAAACAATGATCGAAACGTCGTCATTGTAATGCTATAAAAATAGAGAGTATCACAAATAAAATTTGGTCTGTAATTGGTGAAATTAACTTCGTTTTCTTTCTATACAAAAACAGACGATATTAACTTCTTAACACACAAATAAAATTTTATTCTTGTAACTGTTCTTATGAGAAACCTCTTACAAAAAAATTAATTCTGAAACATTTAATAAACGAGCAAAAAATCCCCAAACCTACTCAATAATAAGCAGGTGTTTTAAATTCAAGTATATACAGGATGTCCATCGCAAGTGTGCCGAACTTTGCTATCTCAGAAAGGGTAAAACATCGACTAAATTAGATAAAATGTTCAGTTTATAGAGGTCATTCTTAATGCAGTGTTGCCAAAATTATCTTAGTTTTTGATGTACAGGGGTTTTTCTAAGAATAACCTAAAATTTCTAATGAAAATAACTTCAAAACAAATTCAGATAGAGGAAAACTTTCTTAATAAAAGATGCTCAGTCTGTCGTTGCCTGTAAACCAATTAGTTTTCCTTTTTCGAACCTAGTAATATTTTTGAGATACAACTAGTAAATTTGTGTTATTTAAATACGAATCACCAACATTTTTCTAAAATTTTAAAAGGGAGTTCCATTACCTTTATAACGATATCCCTAGCAAAATTTTGGACGTTTTGATATAGAAAATCCATATTCAGGCTTTTATTATTTTCTTTATATGCTTTAATTGAGCAAAACAAGTTGAAATTAATAAGTGGAAATTGCAGAAATGCAAAAAAATCCATAAATGTTTTTTTCGAGTTATTTGTATTAGTCCTTTTAATTACCATTAGAAATGAATAGTTTGAATCAAAATTAACAATAATTTTTTAACAATATCAAATATCTGAGGATTCTTAATTTATTAACTATTAAGCCCTAATGAAACTAAATAAAACTAAAAAAATAGAACAACTATTACAACAAATGCTCCAATTGTGTCCTATTATTATATAGGCATAGGCGGACATTTTTAATTTTTTTTTTTAATATTTGTAAGTATTGATTAAAAATTACCACTAATTTTTAAACAAACTGTATTAAATAAAAGAAATTGCTACAAATAATATTAAAAAATCTTCTTTTTGTTAAAATAAAGGAATGAACAGGTCCGTACTTAATATTATTGGAATAAACATTCCTCCAACTTCTGATATATTTTTCCGTATTTCTGCAATTTCCACTTATTAGTTTCAACTTGCGAGTTGAACATGGCGTATCGAAAATGTAATTTCATTAAAAATAACTTGCTTTGCTGAAGTAAACCATAGAAACGAAATAAAAGTGTACTCATATAGGATATCGTTATAAAGATAATAAAATATGCTTTCAACAATTTGAAAAAGATCCACGTCCGTACTTAAAAAACAAACAACTTGGTGGTTTTCGGGGTAAGATGGGACGAACGCTAATGTATATATGTTATTATTATATACATTTAATTTGTCCTACATACGTCAGCCGGAAGGAAACGTGTCGCTACTTTTTTGTTTTTTGTGAAAAAAATTTGTTCATAATTTTACGAAGTTTTATGACAAACATTGACGTGCTATTAGTCAAACAACTAGTTTTCTGCAATATTTTCAGCCAAAGTTCATAGCGGTACTATCTATAAAATGTGTTTGTTTGGGTAAAATGGTTGAGGCATAACAGGATACTAAATCCGGAAAGAAAAAGATTAAAAAGCCCAAGTGAACTTGAAAAAAAAAACATGGATGTTTCATTCCCACTAGCTACTAATATGAAAAAACAGTAGCCAATACTGATTTAAAGCAAATTCCCAAATTGATAGCTGCTTTGAATAGGTATCACAATGTCCTAAGCGAGCGTAAGTTACAACCTTAGCATTTTGTGTGGTGTAATTTGTTCAATTTCGTAACGAATACTTGCTTGTAGTTCCCCGAACGACGCCAGTTTAACATTATCCACTCCATATTTTAAGTACAAAGTACTACCACAAAATGCAGGTTAGTGGGGGTCTAATGGGGTTAAATACGGGAACTGAGATAGAAAGCTCCCATATCACACCTCTACATATTCATCGAAATGTTTAACTACTGCAATGTATTAAGTAGTTGATACCATACTCTCTGAAATTTTTTAGCAGGGAACAAATTTTGAATTGCGGAACTTAAATTGAAATTAAAAAAATGGACATATGACATTCTCGCGTACTATGCCGATCCTAAGGAGTTAGAGTATGGATTTCCTGAAACCATTTCGAATTTTCGCTAGCCCAAAAATTTGTTCTGTTACCTCGTCAAAAAAAAAATAAGAAAGTCAAAAAAGTCATGTTGGTCGTCTATCTTAGTACGAAGTTTCTCGCAATACTCAACGCATTTTTCAAAATCATTTTCTTTGAGTTTCTGAACACTGTAATACCTGTAACGAAAATAGTTATGAACTTTTAAAATACGAATCACCGAATTCATTCCAATGTCGGTAGCTCGAGCTGTTTTTCGAGTTGAGGCCCGTGAATATTCAATGTATGCAGTGTTGCCACTTCGAGGGATTTATCCCGATTCGAGGGAGTTTCGACGTTCTCGAGTGATAAAGGGATTTTTCCTTATTTCCGAGGGATTTTTTGTAATTTGCCATTTCCTGGTTGGTTTTGTTTGATTTTGTTGACCTGATATTATATTATGAAGCCGCTCATTTTTCTAATTGTAAACGTAAAATTTTGTCAGCTATAATCGTATAATGCTGTACGATGAAACGGTNAATTGTCTAACTCTTTCAAGTCATTGGACGAGGGTTTACATAAGTGACCTTGACCTTTAAGCTTCGGTTGTGCTCTTTGCCGAAACAATACTTACATTTAATTGTTTACAAAAATAACATAATTTGACTGATTTATCATTTGATGTGAGATGAAAATAGAAACGAATGAGTTATTTGACTTTAAAGTCATATCATTCTATCTACCACCCCCTGTATTAGAAGGAGCTTATTGGTAACTAAAATTTACCAAACTGTTTTTACTTTCAACTGTTTCTATGTATAAGAACAAAGGCTTTTACGACCGGAATCCATAGGGTTCCGCCAAAAAAAGGTGATTAAGAAAAGGTTCATTAGAAAAAGAAATTGAGAATCTCTATGTTATTCTAATTACAAAGTATATATGTATATAATAAGTATCGTATACATTGTAAAAGTATGTAAAAAGAACTGTCAGCGTAATATAGATACAAATATGTGAATAGAATCAGCGAATTCTTCTTACTTTTAGTTTCTTCGAGCACATAGGAGAGCCTTCATCATATTTCCTCTTTGAACCGAAAATAAATGCTGAGTTTCGATATACCTTCAGATATTGAATTTGAGAAATTGACACGGAATATGTATCGGATGTTGAAATTTTCGGTCTGCTTGTATTGTATAAAGATTGGCGTTGTTTCCCCGTCGATCTCGTGAACATTTCTTTGTTCTTAACAATTTCCTTTCTTTTATGTCTCAATTGTTTTCGCAGACGTTCCTTCAATATGGGGTCCCCCAGACAAGAATATCTCCACTGTCTATTTGTTTTGGTTGACAAAAGCAACGATTCCGGACTTAAAAACCTTAAAACGAATTTCGGAAAGTGTTTGTTGATTTAATTAAACACCAATGTTTACGATTACGAACCTTTGTTTCTTTATATCTCTCATTTTGAGTGAAAATAAATATTTGCACTACATCAATTTAAGATATGTTCGTCACGTAGTTTGACATATGTCTATAGACTCGATTGTCATTATTCATTGAATTTAAAAACAGAAGTTTTCGGATTCTAACTTACGTCCGAATGACGTAGAATTATGTAAAATGTTGAAATAGGCATGAATATCATTAATTTTATATGAAAGAGCATTAAAGTCAAGTTTCAAATAAATTTGATTATATATATTGTAATGTTCGTGGGTTTAACAAATATACTGTTAAGAAAAAAACTATTTATTTACACTAATTATTATT